TATACGATACGATGGTACAATGACATACATACATCGTATATAGCCATGTTTACATAATATTAAGGTATGTTCACATTGTATAAAGCTATGTTTACATAATATAAAGGTAGACACATCATATATAGAATTAAGTGGTCCACATAATATACTACGTGGTATTAAGGCAGTCATGGCTTACCATACAACAGCATCAAACTGTTAAGTGAAACTTTTACTAATATCTTAAAAAATCCGCATACAACAAAGACTGACGAAGACGACATCAATGGTGAGGACAGATATTCATATGATTTGGGCAAGGTGATCATATTACACATGATATTAGTTAAATGTAAAAATTATATAGCTGTATAAATTCCTATGATTCCACAATTTCCTGATTAAATAATGTCATAGCACAAGTTTCCTATTCAACTGATATCTTCACCATCAGCAAGTTTATAGCGCCCTCAATCTATGAGTTCGTCATTGGTGTTAGAGGGTGGTATAATGCAAGGCCATTGTTTCCAAATATTGTTAATTCAACATAAAATAAAGAAAATTATATTACACAATCAAGCTGGTCAAATATACAATTTATATAACCCTTCTACAACCAGTAATTATTTACAAAAACTTTGGGTATGTTTTGAGTAATAATAGACCCTAGTAACAAAACATAAAGATTGTCAATAGCTCATTCACCTACCCACTGACTACAAGGGAGAGTATATGGAAGACAGAAAGTGTCAATACCAATAGTTTAAAATATTAAAATAGGTCTCTCTTTTTATCATCACATGCGTCAATTTGGAACCTGCAACTAGACAAGTGTGCCACATATGTTTGTTTTCTGTTTCAGGGAATCATTTGTAGATCCAAGTCAACCATTAATGGTTGTATTAGAAAGCATTGCTTAATAAATGTTAAACGTTGAACATATATCTAGCCTTTTGTTAGATAATCCTAATTACAAACAAGCCATGCATAGAACAGTCCCCGTTAGTTATTAAATTTAAGGTTTTGTAATATAGCTGGAATATAACCATGTCAGGAATATGATTTTTTAACATTAAAATGATTGATATTTGTATCTGATCGTCAAACAAGTACTTATCCATATTGAGAGATATTGCTCTGGAACAGCATTCAAAATCAGCCATTTTGAATACATGTGTATATATATATATATATATATATATATATATATATAACATGATGTATGACGAATATATAAAATTTGAATATAATCAGTCAAAGCATTTAAAAGATATGGCTCTAGAAGCCCAATCATTAAAACAAAATGGCTGTCAGTCAGCCATTTTGAATCCAATCTGAAAAATAAAATGACATGCATCAGGAACCTGTAATGTCTAATGTATGTTATACGTTTGAACAAAATCCATCTGTAAACAGCCGAGAAATGCTTGATTTTTATGATTTTTTAGCACAAAAATTGCCGCCATTCGGCCATCTTGAATCAGATTGTAAAACAAAATGATGTGCATCAAGGTCCTATAATGTCCAACGTATATACAAGGTTTGAACAAAATCCATCTGTAAACAGCCGGGAAATGCTTGATTTTGATGATTCTCATTCGGCCATCTTGAATCAGATCGTGAAACAAATTGACGTGCACATATATAATATCATGTATGATGTATGTGTGAAGTTTGATTGTGATTGGTCTAGGCATTTCTAAGATACAGGTCCGGACACACGCACACACACACACGCACGCACACACTCACGCACACACGCATGCATGGACACACAGAGGTCAAAACATAAGTCCCCTTTACGGACTGCGTCCAAACAGGGACTAAAAAAACATAGTTGAACTCTGGTGACCTTGCCCTTTGTTATATAATATTATTCCCTTTATCATAGTTTGTTTCAATATGAATATGCATTGTCATAATTAATTTTGAATACAAACAAGTTTTAGGGTTGAAACAACAGTGGGAAAGCAGTTTACCAAATATCCTTGATAGATGTAAATATCCTACAAAAACATTGGTGCCTAATTTGTTTAATTATTTTAAGGGACATAATTTCCAGCTTTATTCAAAGTAATTCAGATTTTTTATTATAAAAACAAATACCGCATCTCAGAAAAGAAGTGCTGCATTTAGATGTGAATAGATTCAAAAATCATGCAAGATACCAGAAAATCTTAGCTGGCTTTTGCCCAAGTATTTTGTACAGGTGTCCGTCAAAAAATAATGATTGACTGAGACAAATATGAACTGCTTTATTATATTTATTGTGTGACTACTGTATTATTTGAAAAGTAAAAAAAAAAACATGTTGCAAGCTCTGCTTTGTAATGCAAATCAACTTAAATAGTTAGTTGAAGTCCAGTGGAGAAAGAAGTCAACAGTTCCTTTGCCCCCTGAGGATCTACATCTTCAAACACTGCAATCTTTGTTTTTAAAGTGTGTTTTTAAATTTTTATTATAAAAGCTCCATCATTCTGTTCTAATAGCTGAAACAAATTCCTGTGAATTTTCATTTGTCAAATGAACTGTTTTAGTACAATATGCAACATTTTGCTTTTTATGTATTTGTTCTGTATTGTTTTTGATTTGATGACTTTTGCCTAAACAGATTTTCTATTAGCTTCAGATCTTGATCAAAGTTTGGCACCCAGTTCATAGCAGTGCTTATATTGATTTTCTGACATCTTGTTTTCTGTAAAGATTTTATTGGTAGGTTTGCAAATGTGTATCAGACTGTGCAAAAACTCTCTCCATGAGTTGGTTTTGAAACCCAGTCTAGTATTCCCATGGGATTTGTGAGATACATTACCAAGGATATAATTACAAGATAAATGATTTGCTTCATTGAACACAGACAACAATGCATATTTCCACTGAGATCAGTGACCTTTGAATGTGTATCACCAGTGATCAGTCAAGTAGAAACAGTCAAAATATTTTATCAGATTTTCTCAATATATTTTCATACAGGACATCTGGTGTTCATACTCAGGGAAGACTTTATACTAATGAATAAGGTGACCAAGTTTGATGAAGTTTGGAATATAATTAGTAAAGTTATTGTGCACACAATAACAATTATTAACGACGACGTCGCCGCCGGACAGAAATCTTTCCCTTAATATATCTTTCCCTTCCATCTTTGATGTTACGGGCAAGGTGATTAAAACTGGATCACTACTATTTTTTTTTCTTTGAATAAGAATCTGTTGGCCTAATGGCTAATAGAATGTATTTTAGCATGGGGGGGGGGGGGGTTAGCACACTGTACACCATATTTGCTTTATTACAAGGACTAAAGCCCTAACAAAAAGAGAAATAAACCAAAAATTGATCATTAAAATATGACTTAATTTGACCAAAGAAATACCTGTCATTTACATAAATGCATTGCTACTACCAGTAATAGAGAAAATATGTTATAGATCAAGCATGGTTGTAATTGTGCTAGACATCACCAATTATATACGCTTCAACAAGAGAGCCTTTTTTCATCTCTGACTTATATTCAGTTCTTGGAGGAAGACACAAGAGTGCATTTGCTGACTTCAGACTTAGTAGACGACTACTCTGTTGACTTCCAGTGCTCAGTGCTGTAGGTATTGGATCATCAACAGAATAGTGTACAACAACACGGTGGAACTCAGGTCTAGGATCTAGTGTCACATCAGTGGACAACTGTAACAGAATTAGTGATTAGCATTAGGTGAATATTCATCAAAGCCTTTCAAACACATTTCACACTGTTTTTATAATGATGTTTACAGCGAAAGGCACAAAGCTGGTTTGCTTATAAACATTTTTATAAAAATTTGTAAATGCTAATCATCAACTCTCATTCAAATTCAAATATTTAATTTGTGATTGGTTTAACAGCTGAACAAAGACATAGCAACTGTAGTCATAGCAATTGTAACCATCCACATATTCAAAATGAACTCATCTCATTAATATTAATTGGAACTAATTATGATATCACAATACAATTTCTGGATTGGCTAATTCAAATTCTAACATCCATTTTGATTTATGGAAATGTATGTTTATAAAATGTTTAAAACGATCCCAGCCTTATGCCCTTCACTGTATTTCCAGTTCTTACATACCTTTGTTTTTATTTTGGTAAGGTGAGGATATTGACTACCCATCATTTTTCTCAAAGATGGAACAACAAACAGATTACAACATACCACAGCTGATACTGGATTACCTAGAAAACATATACACTGACAATTATGTAGGTGGAACAGCTCAGATAGGCATGTATTGGACTAGTACATGTATCAAGAAATTTGCAATGACATTACACACATTAGATACAATACTGCAATAATGAAAGCTGAAGTGATATCATATAATTACAGCAGAAATGTCATCCATTATACTCACCAGGTAAAGCAAAGAACAGCTTTTTTTTACCATTATAATCCAATGATGCAAATGTAGTAGGTTTCCTACAAACACAAACACAATCACAGTTAGGTATTCAGTTTTATTGACATTAGTAAATCCTGACTTTATCTAGTCGATGCATACTGGGCTGATTTCACAATCATTTGCTTGAATACACTAAAGTTAACATTTTTCTGTATTTGTTTTTTACCTTTCCAATCTACCAAAAGTATAAATGAATTATGTTATTCAAAGAATCAACTAATAATCCATATGGCAATGAAGTCAAAGCAGTATTGGGTAATGAGAAATCACATTAGAATTTGATAATATTAATATACATGTAGATGAATTGAACCTTAAAATGCAAAGAAATCAGCTTACCCTGGTTTGAGAAAAACTCTTGCAAAGTGCAGAGTGGCACCAAGTTTGACTTGTAAAACATACTTCAAGAGATCCTTTTCACCCATAGACACACCCCCTGTTGTGATAACAATATCGGCTTTCTCTAAACACCATTGGATTCTCTCAACTAACGACTGTAAACTAAAATGAATAGTTTGACCAACAAATTCACAGTTGCGATTTAACAGGAATATGGGAGAAAACAGAGAAAAAATTATTATATTATCATACGGTAGTTAACCATACTGTACTTGCCAGAGTACAAAAACAAAACTGACATTCAGATTAAACAAACTGGAACATCAATACGAAAGAAACTACCGGCAACCAAGACAGAACAGACAAATTATTTAGATGTGCAAACAAATGGATGTAGATG